GACTGGCTGTCGCCCACCATTGTCCGACACCGTCGTCAACGTGTTAAAGCTACTTCGTTGCAGTCGAGGGCATCTGTCATCTCATACCAAGGCTTGAAACTGGAGGTTTTTTTCAGAGTGAGCCAACGTGTTGGTGGTCCTCTGGAAATGAATGGCGCTAAATGTCAGTGAGTTAGATTAGCCTGGCAAAGTGCGCCAAGTGATCACGACCAGCGCGCGTGAGCCGTCTTTGATCGGAGGTGGCCGTACTCGCCTTTCAAGAGAGTGATTTCAGTAGCTGACTTTCCGGTTCTCAGTTTCTCCGTTTCACGTTTACAAGTCGTGCTGTGGCCGGGGGTTGGTCTTCTTCTTCTTTGCATTCCAAGGGTTTTTCGGCGAGCTCGTCCATTTCACCCAAGAACAAAGAATGCTAGCAGAAACATAAGGAGACAGCTCTGCCTTCTGATGCTCCTTTTCAGCTGTCATCTGCTGTTGTCGCTTCTTTCCACCACCACCAGCGTCACCGGCCCGCCCTACTATAAATAAATCTGAATTCTACGCGGCTAAATCGAATAAATTTAGAAATAAACTTTCCGCTAAAATGCGCACACGCCAACAGACAAACTAGGCCTATTGTACCTATATAGTAGGATCTTTATCAATTATTTCCTTTTCAGGTTTGGTCTCAAATTTTCTTTCAGGCTTGGTCTCAACTCTCTTCGTTCGAAGCTTACAGGAGAAAGGATTCAGAAGCTGCTCTCTAAGTTGAAATACAAGCGGGTCACGGTACCAACATTTACATTAAGAGTTTCTGAATGTACTGTAGATCAGCCAGGGGACGTCCTGGGGTTGGGGGAAATTTTCCCTGTGTGCGACTTCCCCACGGCAGGCCAATCATCTTAGAGACACATGGTACGCTCAAACACATTGAGGGGGTATGAGGGCACCCGGCCATCAGGTCCCGAGCTGTCGATGTGTCGTGATCCCTCCAGCTCAAAACTGCACGGGGTCAGAGTACAGGACCGTGGGAAATTGCTAGGCCGCCCGTTTTTGCAAACTCACGTTTTTACTAACACCGTCCGCGCGGCGCGGTCGCGTGCAGCTCTCTTGGCTTTTTGCCAAGTCCTGTAATTGCGCTTTGGAATACAAGTACAACGCAATTTCTTTATGCGGATAACATTTTAGGTTGCAAAATAAGAACTGAAGATGATGACGAGGGCTAGAACTCAAGAGCAACTGTGCTGCTTCTGCAACAGCCCTCGCAGGCCGCGCATTCCCACAAAACATCAAAATAAAAACGGCCTAAGCGTCCCACTCGTTAGTTTGAAGTATTTCTATAGCATTAGAGCCGGATTCGAGCCGGATCGCAGAAATGCACACGCGATTTTAATTTATTGCGTTTCCTTAGTTTTTTCAATTTTGTTTTATTTACATCTACATTCGTTGTTCTTCATTTCTAGCCTTTGTCATCTTCATCACCTTCTATTCGGACTTTGAAGCATGAGCAATACCTCAAATGTTAGGAAATTGCGTTTTGCTTGTATTGTCATGTTGTCCGTTTTGTTCTGTGGGAATGCGCGGCCTCTGAGGGATATTGCAGAAGCAGCACAGTTGCTCTTGAGTTCTAGCCCTCGTCATCATCTTCGGTTCTTATTTTGCAGCACCCTCAAATGTTATGTAAGAAATCGCGTTGTACTTGTATTCCAAAGCGCAATTACAGGACTTGGCAAAAAGCCAAGAGCTGCACGCGACCGTGCCGTGCGGACGAGTTAGTAAAAACGTGAGTTTGCCAAAAGCGCTGGGGAGCTGATAGTCTCATACACCCTCAACGTGCTTGAGCGTACCATGTGTCTTTAAGGAAAATTGCCAGTCCAAATACGATGCCCCTCCAGTGACCAAAAAGAAACTCCGTCAGAGGTCCGCGATGTATGAGGTGCCCTGGTATAAATCAAAGGCAGGAGAATAGTGCTCACGGAGAGCAGAGGACAGTTCCAGTGCCCACCAATAGCAGGGACGTCAGTTTGAGAAAGCTTTTCCCCACATTCGACTTTTCCACAAGACGGATGATCATCCTAAAAAAATCTGCAATTCGGCATGGGGGAGTGGGGAAATTAGAAATAGAAAAGTTCCAACACCTACTCCGCCTCCTATCCCGCTTCCGCTGCTCCAGCCACAATATTTCTGTTTTCTTTATTTTGTCCTCCTAGAGCTTTTTTGTAGGTCACAATCCCGAAAATGAAATTTGAGACCAACTTCAAACTCAAAGAAGCGCTAATGGCGATGGGAGTGACGCAGATGTTTTCTGGCAACGCTGATTTGACTGGAATATCCAAGGCGCCTCCGCTCCACATTTCGGACGCTGCTCACAGAGCTATGATTCGAGGTGGATCGATGTTCCATAATCTGAAAAAAGGTTTCTCTGTTCGCTTTGTCCAAGACCAATTTCCAGGTGGATGAAGGAGGAACAACCGCGGCGGCCGCCACAGTTTTCTCTTGGACTAAAGTTATGATGATCATTAGACCAAAACCAGTGGAATTCCGAGCTGATCATCCATTTTTGTTCATCCTTACAAAAGATAACAATCCTTTGTTCATGGGTCAATTTGTGTGAAAGATTCAATCACATTCCAAAATAAATTATGAGTTCACTGTCGATAGAGTAGTGATATGCTTCTTTGCTAATGGTGGTGAGTTGGGACGTGGGGAGAGCGTTTGACTCACTACTTGTGCAAAGCTAGATATACCGTAATGGCAATGAATACTTTTGTCCAGTCCTAAAATGGGAAGCAGCTGCAGCTTGGGCCTTGGGTGGACGTACTTGTAACACGATAATTACATATATCAGATGGCATTGCTTGTCTTGCACAAAGAGTCCTTCAAATGCGCTCCCCTGTGCAGGTATATTAGAGCTCATATTGAGCTTCCACACGTTTACCTTCTTAGAGATGGCCACGACTCGTACTTATGAATCATTAGGACCTCAATGATACAGGAGTATGGCACCATGAGGTGGTTATCGCACCACACCTGTTCAGAAGCTTATTTTTCCACCGGTGCCAGTTGAGGTCCGATATGCGCTTTCTGATAGCAGATCAAAGACACGTTTGGTAACTGCCTTTCATGGGCTACGGGATTCTAGATCGCAGCATCGGTGCTTGCTGACTGACTTTTTAGTGCTCTTCCAATTCCACTGTCACTGAAGGAGCATAAGATGGTCAACAAAATCAGCTGCATGGCACGAAGGCTGACGGTTCTTCTGGTTTTTTTTTGTTTTACTCTTTATTTTTGGTTTTTTTTCACGATCTCTCCTCGGCGCGGAACAAGGCTGACGGTTCTTCTTGCTTTTTTATTTTACTCTTTGTTTTTGGTTGTTTTTGCGTTTTTTCTCTCGGTTCTACTCTCGCCGCTCATCGGCGATGGTATGGGGGGGGGGCACCTTGTGCTTTCATTCACTTCGATATCCGCTTTACAAGCCTCACTCCGGTGAAACCTGTGAACCCTTGTGAAGCTGGAGCAAGTTCGTTGACCGCCGCGGTAAAACCTGTCAACTCGAGAAGAGGCTGTCTAGATGAGTCAACACGTCGATGGGAAGTAGCAAAAGTGCAAAATGCCCCCTTTCCTATGCCTGTACTGTCTTACGATTCCATGCAGCGATGCACACTTGATGCTATGACCATTAGTTGGGACGGTGTCACGAGACTGAAATGAGCCAAGCCGCGGTGTTTCGCGCAAAAAGCTTCCTTTGTGAACCATTTCACACCGCTCACATTTGAAGTCTCCGCTGCCATCAAGACACAGACGTCAAAACTGTTCTACATATGCCTTTGATTCCCTTTCCTACTATTCAGGTCCTTCTGAAGCAATGTTGAGGTCGCCCTGCAGTAGACGTCAGAACGTAGGTTTCTCATAAAGGCCTAAGGCACGATAGTGTGCTACTTGCTCCAAAGTTGTGGCAGGGGTACTATATAGTGGACAAATGACGGACGAGCAAAGTTAAAAGACCGAAACCTGAGGAAAAGAAATCTTTGTTCTGCTCTGCACTGGAGAGCATTTCTGGTCCCATTAGCATGTGCCAACAACCTCACAGATGTGGCTGCACTTATGTATTCATGTATCCAATCCTTCATATCGATTGTACTTCAAAAATAAAGCGAAAATACAGTACCAGAGCCGATGTCTCTTCCCTCGAAGAACTATCGCCCAGGAATAGGAGAAGAGTGCACGTAAAACTGAGGACATCTCTCTCTCTCTCTCTCTCTCTCTCTCTCTCCTATTAACCAGATACGTTCCCTCCCCCTCCCCACCCCGATGGAAGTGCCCAGGGTACGACGTGCCCAGCTCAGTGAAGACTGCTGGTCATGAAACCGTGACTAGGAACACATCATCTGCACGATCCAGCCATTTTGTTGAGGTGCCGCCTCAATTTCGAATTTCTTTGCGATTTTTGGTAGAAGTAGACTGCATGGCTAACACTCACACTCAGATCAATCGATAACAAGCGAACTCAATTTTGATTCAGTTCAGCCCATCCGTACTACGTGGGAGGCGCGGTTCGGTTTGGTGGGGCAGAAATTAACAGGTCTTCACAACTGGTACAATCCACTTGTGAAGACCTGTTAATTTCTGTGACAGAAGTCGCTCATTTGAACAGACTTCGCAATAGTTCACATTCTCAGAGAAGTTCTATCTGTTGGCCACAACCAACTGAAGAACTAGCGAAAATGCTCCTCCAAGTTAAACCGCGCCACATAGTATTTTTTGCAAACATTGAGTTCCGATTGCGTATTTCGAGCTGCAAGAATAGCTTGAGTCGCAAGGGTCGCGACGCGGCTGCAGCGCGTCACACCGCGGCGATCAGCTGTTTCCAGCCTAATTTGGCCATTTTCTCCCTAATTTTCACTGTATTTTCTATTTTTCTTCAAGGTTAGTTGTTTTATTGTCTTTATGAAGTACATGAGGCGTGGAGTCTTTTTTTGTTTCTGTAATAGAGTGTTTTTGCGATTTTTTCAGGTGTTTGTTCAATTGTTTGCCTAACTGATTGATTGTGCGCAAAAATCAGAGGAATGTCAGTCATAACTTATCTTGTGAAGAAAAGGAACAATTAATCTTGAGAAAAGCAGCCATAACAGTGTAAATTAGGGAGAAAATGGCTAAAATAGGCTGGAAACAGCTGATCGCCGCGCTCGTGACACGCCGCAGCCGCGTCGCGACCCTTGCCGCCCTAATCAAGTCTCCGGATGACGACTGTAGTTTCTTTAGCTAGATCGTGTTTATTATGAGGCCTAACTCTGGCGAGGTCCGCCATCTCTCGTGAAGCTCGGGAAAGTGCAAGTGATTACGTTGGCCACGCATACGGGTTCTCGCAATGTGGTCTGTACAAGTTTCACTGAGCATCTATGGTGCTCTCGCCGACTCAAGTTTCGTCGTTCTTTTAACTTACTTCTTATTGGCACACAAGTAATCGAGCTTTTAGGTGGCTATGGGTGTAGTGCTTTTCGCGATGTGAAAACGTCCCACATTCGACTGATGTCTTGCTCGTGGCGGCGTAAGGAGGAAGTTATGGTTGTTGAATTTGTGAAAATGAAGCACCAGCACCATTATGGACAATAAGCCAAGTAAAATACGACGCTTTCCGCCTCCCAAATGCCCTGTTTCCAAGGAAGTTATAGCCCTTTAATGAGGAGAATTTTGCATGTTCTGACAGCTTCGGAAAACAAACTGCTCTATCGCAGTGGTGATATGAAGCGGAATTCAAATTTAATGGTTCAGGGCTGGAATTGGCATCACCCTGTTCGGGGGTAATAGTACAGACATCGTCTTTTACGCACACCCATGCTCGCTATTCATATTCCAATGCTCAGTAAGGACGAAGACGACTGGGACCAAACCCCGAGACAGGTGGAAAAACGTCGGTGCTTTCTACACTGTGGACATCGTTCGACTCAGGGGGAGGAGGGAGGAGGATGCCTTCCCCTAAACCCATTCAAGTCTCTTAATTTTGTTGGAACATACGAACTTTTAGGAAGCTGCTTAATGGAGCAAACTCCGCCGAGCAGCTTTGACCAGGACCCATGAGCCCCTGTAAACTCACGAAAAGGTATGAGCTCCATAATGTACGGTTGTATCTGATTTAAATGAGGTTGCAAATCCTCGTGAGCAAATAGGCGGCCTGAACAAGCTTGAGTGCCACTTCGTGGACTGACAAGAGTTTGCAATTATCCGTGTCCGTGTTATCCGTGTACGGAACTAGTAAATGCGCCTCACCCAAGGCATTCAAGCTCAGCAGCAGCGTCTAGAACAACCCACACTTGGAGCTCTGCTCTTTTGGAAACTGTGTACGAAACCCGTAAAGGATGGACAGCTTTCCGGTGCGAGTCACCACGAACTAGCGATTACTCATAATGTGCCAAGAAATCAATTTTTTACTTGGCAAAATACTTGGTATAATTAGGCTGCTTGTTATTGCGGCTGCCTCGGAAAGTTGCCGCCGGCCACATTCGCCAATCAAATTGCGCGAAAATTTAGGATCGACGAATCGCCGCGCAGATTCGTCCAAGCAGAGAACGGTGTGCGCGGGGGGGGGCAGTATACCGAGGGAGTAAAATAGGCCCGCCCCGGCTGCGTTTTCTACCAGAAATGATCGGTTAACGCTTCAATTCAGGTGGAAAATAGCCAATGATAGAAAACGCAGCGGCTTGGCTATCCCATGCCTTCTGAAACTGCCGGCTGGATCGCGGCGAAATGAGCCATCTCAAGGCTTAGAAGAACACATTCGATTTGGTTCCCCTCGAGAATTATTCACATTTCTGCCGGCTTCTGACCATAATGTTAGGCTGACGCCTTTGATAGCACAATGGTTTTTGCTTCGCTTGAATAATGGTTCCTGTAAAATCATCGTGTTCTCGTTTGATGGCTGTTATTGCAGTTTAATATTCCCTGTCAAGCGTGTAAGAGCGATAGATGTGAATAAAACGCGCAGCCAAGGCTGCTTTTCACATTGTGCAGAAAGTTGGGCAGAGCGGTGAAGCTACATCTCTCCTATTTTCTATATTCCTGCTTTTACAGCTGTTAGATCGTTATCACGGCTTGAGATTTCAGTGCTAAGTGCACCGATCGTAGCTTTTCTCATGGTCAGCTGTCTCTTGCAACATTACTAGGGCACGGTGGCGGGGCAGTTCGGCGACGGGAGGGGAGGAGGCATTTTGCACTTTTGCAACTCCCCACCAACGTGTCTACCCATAGACAGGTTTTACCATAATGGCTCCACGAGTTTCCTCCAGGATTCGCAAGAGTACACGTATTTCACCAGAGTGAGCCCTTCCCCCCCCCCATCGCCGAACTGCTCCCGATGGAGGAAAGGATCTAGGAAAACTGGATTTTTCACCAAAGTAATGCTCTCGAATCTCATGTGCTCTTGAGAAAATCCCTGTCAGTTGAATTCCCATCAAGATACTATACAGTCACTATTTCCTGAAATAGATCTTAATAGTTCTGTGGAGAGGACCTTCGACACTCCACTCATCTGTCAAATTTTAGGATAATAAGTTGTGAAGGGAAAAAGCTTCAAGCACGGGAAGGTCGCTTTTCTTAAAGACTTTGATGCCATGCTCA